GGCACCGCACATTTTCACGTCAAGTTTGGATTTTATAAATCACAACCTTGGTGTAAAAAGTGGCGTACGCACGTTTCCTGGCTCAAATTGTGCGTACGCCAGTTTTATAAATCCGACCCCAGGTCCTATTGAGCATTAAAAAGTGCAGATAATGTCTGTTTCTTCATTCTGTGTTTCTGTTAACAAGGAAAATTAAAACAAGTTTTTCCTCCACTGACTCATTACCCAACAACACAAGTCTGTACTATGCTTCTCTAGTACGGGGGGCAGTGTGAGAATTTGAGGATTTATCCCCGGCCGCACATTTCAGTTATATATGAGAACATGTTGGCAGTTATTGTGGTATTACATTAGAAAAACATCAGTCAAAATTCACTCCAGTGTTTAATACAACCCCCAACTTAATACATGATTTTAGTGGTTACATTATTCTCATTATACACTCATATACAGATAATGAGTTGGCTTCTTCTTTAGATTGTTCTTTTTTATGTACAGTGCCCTGAGACAACATATGTTGTGACTTAGCGTTATATAAATAAACTGAATTGTATTGAATTGAATTGAATTGAATTGAATTGCCAGATGGCTTTCCTCTCGTGCATCATTCAGTAACCAGGAAGACGGCCTGGACCCTCAGCTGGTCTTTGATGAAGTTTACTATTTATTAATTAATTAATTTACTTTACATTTAACCAGGCAAATCCCATTGATATCACAGATCTCTGTTACAAAGGTGGCCTGGACCTGAAGGCAACCTATTGTTCATCACTTTGTGTCATTTTTGTATCATTACACAAGCTGAAATTGAGATTTGTTTGTCTACAGATAACTCATTATTTCAAGAAAATGCTCCTCGTTATTTTGTGATAACGACATATTTAACCTATTATCTCAAGAAAATGGACCTTGGAAAAAAATTATATGCAGAAACCGGTCACTCTCAGCTTCTGTAAATACGGTAGTAAACGCATCAAATGTTTACACTAAGAAAGTGTTTTTTTGTTGCATGAATAGGGTAATTTTGAATTTTATGACGGCAACAAATTTATTTAAAGTGCACGTGACAGTTTGTATTTTAATGTAAGAACCTACCCGTCATGTTTCAGACTTTGGTGATCTACGCTCTGGGGGTGGTGCTGCAGGATCCAGATACATGGAGCACCCCATACAGGTTTGTCTTGTCATGGATGAGCTTTCAGCTTTTACACACACAATAGCTACGTGCTGCGAAACTACTGACAAAAATAAACTCATGGAGGCAGTAATGAGAGCAAAACCTAAACAAATAGTTGTTAAAATAGTGTGTTTGATTTTTGACTTTTTGTTAGGTTTGAGCCGGATCGATTTGAGGAAGAATCAGCCAGGAAGAGCTTCTGCCTGCTCGGCTTCTCAGGGAATCAAACCTGTCCCGAACTCAGGTAACAGGTTTTTTTTAATTAATCGTTTAGAACTAAAGCATGCTTTCAGCCATCAGGGCTGTTAAAACGTTTGATTTGGCCTCCGTTCAGGTTCGCCTACACTGTAGCTACAGTTCTCGTCAGTACGCTGGTGCGGCAGCTGAAGCTGCACCAGCTGCAGGGACAAGTGGCAGAGGTGCGGTCTGAGCTGGTGTCCACACCCAAAGAAGAGACCTGGATCACCGTCAGCAGCAGAAGGAGCTGAACAAAATGACAGAAGAATGAGTCGATGTGTCCTACTGTAAGGAAGCACCGATTTGAGGAAATATTACCATCCTAGTATAAGTTGGGTCCAGTTTGTGGTTATAGCTTGAAATTAAACTGTTCATTTTTTGGGCTTGTTTCTGCTGGATGCCATCAGGTTTCACCACTTCTGATTGTCTTTTTGATGCTTTTACAGATTAGAGGTTTTTTTTGTATCGCAGTACCAACCTTAAACTTGCCAAATAAGCACTTCATGACCCCAGTTGTTAAAAAAGAAAACCAAGCCAATGAACAGACCTTTGTCTTTAAATCAACAATGTGTGACATTTACTGACACCTAGTGGTCAGGTTGTAAATGTCACCATCTACAGCTCAGAATCTTGCAACAATCTGCCTGTTGACAACACTTTCATCACTCAAAAGATTTTTGTTAATTTGTTACTAATTCTGTTATTAGCAAATCTGCAGGCTTTTTAAATTTAATGTACTTCCACGACAAAATATTTTCACTATTTTTTTATGTTACAAGGCTTGTTTCAAGTTGATTTTTAGTGAAATATTTGAAAAAGCCACAGGATTAGACATTTCATTAATTGTTCAAAAGTTTTGTTTATTAAAAACTTTTACACAAAACTGAGTTTTTCCTTTTATTAATCTACTTTCACTCTACATAAAAATTGACCTAATAGTCTTGTTTTGAAATTTAAAATGCTTTGGTTTTTAAGATGTCAAAGTGATGTTTTGCACTGAAATGTAAGAAAAAAAATAGCCCTTATAAGCTGCATATATTAATGGGAAACTGCTCTAGATATTTTTTATAGTAATTTAAATGTTTTACTACAGAAATGTCAGTATGATGCATTTTTTGTGGTTTGTTTTGAGAAAAGATGCCAAATTATTAACATTAAATTTGTTTCTGTATTGCTCTGTAGTGCCAGGCCTACAAATCAATTTGTGGCACAATTTAAGAGAAAGTTTAATTAAATTTTGTGCCAAGAAGCACTGTTACGACGAAGAAAATGACTTTACTTTTAGTGTTCTGTTGATTTTCATTGCAGTATATAGATAATTTTACACTTTATGAATATTTAGAATAAAGGGCTATATTTATTCACAATCTTATATAAGACAAAAACGTGTTTTCCAACAGGACTATTTCTTTTTTTCTGCTGTCCTTTAACAGAACGTTTTATGTACGCTCAGCGGTACTTTGTGTTTTGTAAAGCCCATAACACTTTGATGTCCTGCTGTGTGGATCCATCACCTGCCGGGAGAGCCCTGCAGTACCACAGGCGGCCGCGGCGGCGCTGTCCTGCTGTGTGGATCCATCACCTGCCGGGAGAGCCCTGCAGTACCACAGGCGGCCGCGGCGGCGCTGTCGAGCCCGAACACACCTCTCCGAGAAAGATGTGAAAATGGCGGAGCTACAAATGCTTCTGGAAGAGGAGATTCCAGCGGGGAGAAGCGCACTATTGGACAGTTTCACCAACTTGGAAAGAGTCGCCGAGTACTGCGAGAGCAATTATGTCCAGGTTGGTTGCTACTTCTTTTTTATCCTGACATTACTGGGAGCACTACGGTGGGGTGGCGAGCTGATGCTAGGCTAGATGTTGCTAAAGCGAAAACACGCCGCTTGTCAAGGCGATTTGGTCACAGAGAAAACCAACATGGGCATCTTATTTTTATAAATTCGTATCACGATAAAGCTGTATTTCTGTGGGATTATCACGTCTAGTAACATGACGGTGCGTGTGTGAGACTCGTATCTATCGTGAGCTGTGTGTTAGCTTGGTAGCCAGCCGCTCGGCACCATCAACGGGCAAAATAATCAAAACAGCAGGTCGTAAAACAAGTCTTTGTGATCTGAATGAGATCAGTGAGATCTGCTGCAGCAGGCAGCTTCAGACTGAGGATATCCAGGCAGTCTGATCTGTGATGAGCAGATAAACCGCGGTGACTACACGATAAACACCACGGCTGATTTATTATGAACCACGTCTCTTTCATTTACGACTCAAACCCGTTGTAAAGGCTAAACACTGACATTGTATCTACTCATTCAGATGTTGACCGGTGGGGTTTTCTCAATGGCCGATGCCAATCTTTGAATAACAGCAGAAAGCAGGTTTTTCTCCCTTTATTTTGTACTTTCCAATGTTTGTACTCATTACACCCCTGATTATACTACTACAGTTTTTGTGAATTGATCGTTTTTTTCTAATCTGTAAGAAAAAAAGTGTCCAGACAAAACTGTGAAACCAAACCATTGAAATATCCTTGCTGGGTCGATATGTGGCAATAAAGTCAAAATTAGAACATTTTAAAAGGCACAATATAGATGTCTGCACAATGTAATAATAATAATAATAATAAATAAAACTCAACCAAAAAAGTGTGCACTCAGGCTACCTGTAGATAACGTGGTCACTGTGGTACCCACACACCTGTGTCTCAATCCTCATGTAAATAGGAAGCAGACTGAAAAGTAAGCCTCAAACACCCAGCTGCTGTGTGAGAACGATGAGTAAGGCTATAAAAGTTATTGGACCTAGAGTAGCAGAAGACTCCGTTGGTCGTGTATGTGAGTTATTATATTTCTACGCTGTTTTATGTAGATGTGGCAAGATATAAGGGGCCCTTCACTTCCAGCTTTGAAGAGAGAATATGGAGGGGGTGGGGGAGGGGGGCTACTTGTTTTATGAAAACATAAATTTATGCGACTCACCTCCACTTATGGTAATAAATTTACACATACATGAATATTTAATTGCCCAACTACATCCTAAAGTTAAGGACTCCTCATGATAATTATCAATAAAATTATTA